TCATATCCACTTCCTCTGTCTGGGCTGCGAAAACTTCGCTCATATGTGACTCGGCCGGAATGACTTTTTTTGCCCCCCCCCTGTATAGTGCAATAGAAGGGTAGCAGACGGCTGGTACTGTCCTGTCGCGCCACAACATGTCGCGTCTAACAGCACCTTCCACCCTCCTATCCCCCCCCTGCCAGCTGTCTGCCACCCTCCTATCGTGCCATACTCTCCTCTCCCGGACGCTGGTAGACGCTGGTGCACGCTGGCAGACGCTAGATCGATACCTATACTTCCCTAGCCCTCGAGACGCTGGTGGACGCTGGTAGTCGCTTTTAGACGCCGGTAGACACTGGCAGACGCTAGATCGATGTCTATACTTTCCTGGTCGCTGACGCTGGTGAACGCTCGGAACGCTGGTGGACGCTAGTCGTCGCTGGTGGACGCTGCCGCAAAGTACACATGAGTGTCCGTATATCGTCAGTCTCGAATCGCTGCGAGCGAAGCGAAAGAGGCATTGCAAGTGCAGTCGCGTGCGCAGCATTCGCACCAGCATGGAATCGATTCAATACGTTAGGTCAACTATTTCGGAAATCTTCTGCTAGTTTGCGGCCGATGTCTCGGTCGCCCAGTTTGCACTCCAGGAGTGGATGTGTTATAAACTTCAAATCGAAAAATTGAATAACGCACCATTTTCTCCCCAGTCACGACCCCACGTGTTGGCATAGAGCCAATACTTGATCTTGTCTTCTTCTCCCCATCCGATCAATTTTGCACAGTGCCCGTAGAGTTGCTGTGATCGATACTCCTCAGTTTTGTAAATTCCTATAACTTGAGAATATCATGGTTTTTCTGCCATCGATATGTACATGAAATATGATGAGCAACTGAAAATGTTACAAAAGGAAGTGGGCCTAGGGAGACGGACAAGACAATCGTAAATTGTCGCGCGCGGCGTTTCATGCGGTGATCAGCGGCAAATTCCCTGCGTGCGTCAGTTTGTCGACTGGAGCAGCGAAACTAGTGCGAATTCAAATGTAGGCAAGACTCCATGCTGCATGGTACCGATCTTTCTCCTCCCTTTAATATTTATATCCAAGCGGCCGGACAGGAAAACTCGTCCCCCGCG